AAATTGGAGTTAACTATAAGGTTCTTTCACTCCAGAAGCAATCAAATATTTACGGAAAATGTCTAGTAGAAGCATCAGATTAGTCTTTATCATGCACAGTACAAATGTTAGACTGTGTATATATTCTAAGACTACATATTCTCAGAACGAAAGAGAACAAATTATCTTAGACAATTTAAATAGTTATGATTCTTTCAAAGAATGTTAATACTTATAAAAATGATGTTCTTTCTAATGCAAATTTGTTAATGAAAAGGAATGAAAATGTGATAGAAAGAACACAATGAGAGTTTACTGTGTGCATGCTAGTATACTGTTTTTTTTCATGCTCTTTTAAAAACCTCAGACTACCTCAAGATACCATCTCATTCCAGTTAGACTGGCTGTTATCAAGAAAATAAAGGACAGTTACATGTTGGTGAGGATATAGAGAAAAAGTGATTCTTACACACTGTTGGTGGGAGTGTAAATTAGTACAACCACTGTGAAGAACCATATGGAGATTCCTCAAAAAACTAAAAATAGAATCAGAATTCCCACTACTGGGTACATATCCAAGGAATATGTTGAAAAGACATCTGCATTCCCATGTTTATTGCAGCACTATTCACGATAGCCCAGAGTGTAAAGGACCTAAGTATCCAAACACTGATGCTAGATAATGTGCTGCATATGGAATACTACTCAGCCATAAAAGGATGGCATCTTGTCATCTGAAACAACATGGATGGAACTGGAGGTCATTATGTTAAGTGAAGTAAGTCAAGCACAGAAAGACAAATAACACATGATCTCTCTTCTCTCCATGTGGCGTCTACAAAAAAGGTGATCCCACAGAAGTCAAAAGTAAAATGGTGGCAGGGGTGGCACTGTAGCACAGCAGGCCGAGCAGCTGCTTGTAATGCTGGTATTGCATATCAGAGTGCTGGCTCAATTCCTGGCTGTTCCCTGCAAATGTGCCTGGGAAAGCTGTGGATGATGTCCCCTGGGATTCGAACTGACATCCATAGGGGATTCTGGCACTGCAGGCAGTGGCTTTACCTGCTATGCCATAGCACTGGCCCTTCTAGGAGCCTTTTCAAAGGCCCATTAGCCAGTTGTTTTCCACATCACTGACAAAATCCACTATCCATATTTAAATATTTATAATTAAAATCCTCTGACAGTTAATTCATTAGGTTGTATTTCACATTGCTGTAAATGTGATCTTGTATTACATACAGATAACTTTTCCTTATTCTTCCCACTAACTACAACTACAAACCCTAGACACTGTATATAAGACAAACACATGAAAAACCTGAAAGACGCCGAGAAGGACACCCTCAGAGAAGGCACTTCAAAACCCAAAAAAACAATTCAGCAGAGTTTCCTGCCTTTTCTTATTGGCTCACATATCCCAGACTCAATGCTGGAGAAGCTGACAACTCAGAAATGCCAAGGGTTGTAGAAAAATAAAAAGCCCTAAGAAAAGCCTGCTCTCTCACCCAATAGATCAAGAAAAGGGCTGCCTAACAAGATAGAAAACTTGCAAAAAACTAATCATCCTACTTCAGCCAAAACTACTGAAGAAAACCGTGACCCACACAGTAGAGGCCAACTTTCACCCTCGAAAGGCAGTAATAAACCCTGAAACTCTGCAGATGGCGTCAGAAAAGGCAGAGAACAATGACTTAATCCCCACAAAAGTTGTAAGACAACAGCACCTCAGAGACCTGTGAGACTGTAATCAAAGATTTATTATTTACATCATCAATGCCATGGAAGAAGAGAAAGAAAGAGCTGAAAAGATACATGAAGAATTAATGGCAGAGGGCCGGTGCCATGGCGCAGTAGGTTAATCCTCCCATATGGGAACTGGTTCTACTCCTGGCTGCTCCTCTTCTGATCCAGCTCTCTGCTATGGCCTGGGAAAGCAGTAGAAGATAGCCCAAGTGATTTGGCCCCTGCACCCACGTGGGAGACCTGGAAGAAGCTCCTGGCTCCTGATCGGCTCACCTCCAGCTGTTGTGGCCATCTGGGGAGTGAACCTACGGAAGGAAGACCTTTCTCTCTGTCTCTCAGTCTCACCATCTGTAACTCTACCTCTCTAATAAATAAATAAAATCTTAAAAAAAAAAAAAACAAAAAAAACAAAACTGGTACATCCATACCAATGAATACTGCTCAGCAATAAAAAAAAAGGAATGAACTACTGATACACACAACCACCTGGATAAAAAGCCACAGAATAATGCTCAGTGAAGAAGGCCTATCCCAAAAGGTTATATAATGCATACCTCCCTTAAATGACAAAATTGTGGAAATGGAGAACAGGATGGTGGTTGCCAGTGATTAAGGAGAGGTTGAAGATGGAAGGAAAGTGTTTGGAGCCACACTAGGGCAACGGGAGGGATCCTCATGGTATAGAAATGCTTTGCATCTTGACTTCCTTAATGCCAATTCCCTGCTGTGATACTGTACAGTACTATGGTTTTAATGAATGATACCACTGAAGGAAATGGAGTTAAGAGTACAGGGAATTTCTTTGTATTATTTCTCACAACTGCATGTGAAGAATGTACCACTGTCTCAAAACAATAATTAAAAAAAAAATACGTCTAAAGAAAGAAAGGCGGCCGGCACCGTGGCTCACTAGGCTAATCCTCTGCCTTGTGGCGCGGGCACACCGGGTTCTAGTCCCGGTCGGGGCGCCAGATTCTTTCCCGGTTGCCCCTCTTGCAGGCCAGCTCTCTGCTGTGGCCAGGGAATTGCAGTGGAGGATGGCCCAAGTGCTTGGGCCCTGCACCCCATGGGAGACCAGGAGAAGTACCTGGCTCCTGCCTTCGGGTCAGCGCGGTGCGCCAGCGGCAGTGCGCCGGCCGTGGCAGCCATTGGAGGGTGAACCAACGGCAAAAGGAAGACCTTTCTCTCTGTCTCTCTCTCTCACTGTCCACTCTGCCTGTCCCCCCCTCCCCCCCCAAAAAAAGGCTGTTTATCTGTTAATACTGCAATACCTGGTCTGTGTTTGTCTACTCCTATGTTCTCACTTCTACTTGTTATTCAAACCACACTCTTCTTTTGTTCTTGGATTACCTGATTTTTACTTTATCCAGTTAATACCAATCAAATGAAATTACTCTTGTTAAAGTCAAAGATAATGTTTCAACTGAAAAACAAAATTGAAACTTGATAATGTTTTTACTTACCTAGTCTCACCTTGAGCACTACCTGTTGATCACAAATGGGGATTTGGGAATGTAAGACTTTTGCTTTCCTTTTTTAAATTTCCAAATGCTAGCTTCATTCAGAATACAAATGCTCGGGGCCAGCGCTGTGGTGTAGCGGGTAAATCCGCCACCTGCAGTGCCGGCATCACATACATATGGTTTGAGTTCCAGCTACTCCACTTTCAATCCACCTCTCTGCTGTGGTCTGAGAAAGCAGCAGAAGATGGCCCAAGTGCTTGGGCCCCTGCTCCTGAGTGTGAGACCCAGAAGAACCTCCAGAATCCTAGCTTCGGATTGGCACAGATCCAGCTGCTGTAGCCATTTGGGGAGTGAACCAGTGGATGGAAGACCTCTCTCTCTCTCTCTCTCTCTGCCTCTCTATAAATCTGCTTTTCAAATAAATAAACAAATCTTAAAAAATAAATAATACAAATGCTCCTCTTCTCTACATGCTCCTTGGGCGCACTCATTTTCAGCCATTTTATCTAGATGTTAGAGTACAAGCCTTCCTTATACGTATGTTTCCATAAACTTCTCCTAGATCCACTGTGAACATCTCACAGAAAACTCAAACAGAATATATCCCAGCATGGATTACTGCTCCCTAATTCCACCTACCAATAAACCTGTTTTCTGATAATCTTACTAATTATCCCACCATCGTAGACTCTCTTCATCCTTCCTATCTGGTAATTTCCATGTCCTTTTAATTTCTCCGATTCTCTCTTGGCTTTGACCTTCTTTTCCTAATTTAGTCACAATCTGATCATCTATTAGGTGGCCTAACTCCCAGTATTTTATTCTTCATAATGTTTACAGGTTAATTTGAATAAAACACAAACCTGATTGCATTACTATAGTGATTAAATTTCTTCCATGATTCCATACTGCTTGCAGGGAAAAGTCTAACATTTTTAGTATAACATGTATAACCTTGAATCTCTACCCACTTTTCATGCTTATCTTCTACAGCTTACCCTTCTCTAGGCTCACCGGAACATTTGGTATTTCCCAAACATGCCACATTTTCTGCTGACTGCACCTTTAAAGAAATTCTTCCCTCTTCCTGGAACACAGCCTTCCCAGTTGCTTGGCTCCTACTGACCCCTTACCAAACAGCTCTGTCATACCCTCCTTTGAGAATATGGTAGACTTTTGTAATCATTAAATTTTATAGTATTGTATTGATTTCTTTTCTCTTCCAGCACTAAGTATTCCTTGAATGCGAGAACTGTATCTTATTATTTATCTTTACATAGTTGATGCCTGATAAAAGTGAGGAGTATGTAAGTATGTGGAATAACTTTCTATTAGATTGAATGCATAGTCAACATTTTTTCAGGCTTTTTCAAATAAAAGCAAGCAACTATATAATTCACACATTGTTCCCTTCAATCACAATTCATCTTGACTCATAATTATGAAACAATTTCCAATTACACAAATTCCCTACTATAATCCAGACTGATCTCTCTACCCTCATGTATAATTACTGTTCTTATCTAAACATATTTGTAATAGTTCTTTTTGGCCACTCATAGTAGAATGTAAACCTCTAAAAGGCAGAAACTCCTGTGATTCATTAGGGTTTATCACATAATTACATGTCTTTAGGAACTTTATAAATAGTAGTCCAGTCTTAAAAATGAACAGAAAAGATGGCTGCTGAAGGAAAAGAACTGGGTTAGTCAATAGAAATCAAATTAGGCTATTTAAAGAAAATACTACAAACATATCATCCTCTTTAAAAGAATATATTGCATTTCAGTTCTGACAGCCTTCCAAACCAACCTTAGTCTTGTTGAACATTCTCCTTCTTCTTTGGCTACCCATCCAACATCAGCCAAAGACGCCACTGTATCCTCTCCTGGGTTGGGGCTCCATTCTGGTGCATTGCTGGTGAGCTGTAAGTTATAAATAGGAAAAGTTCTTTATCTCACACAAAAATAATGGCATAAATCTTTTTACTCACCTAAATGAAAATCACCAGCTTTGGTGTTACAAACACATGGTGGTTTCTAACATTTCCATTAACCTCTGTGAATGAAATCCTTAGTCATCATCACACTGTTGCCTAATAATGTATGACTATCTCTCAAAAATAATTTACCTGTATTCAATTTTTTACTTTGCTAGTTACTTGAAAAAAGAAAATTCTATCTTAAAACAGAAAAATTTTTCAATCTAAGCATTAGAAACTACTTTGTTCTGGAGAGTAATTTAGATTTTTTTTTTAAAAGAAATAAGGGCTGGTGCTATGGCACAGCCAATTAAAGCCAGCCTGCAGCTCCAGCATCCTATTTGGGCACCAGTTCAAGTCCTGGCTGCTCCACTTCTGATCCAGCTCCCTGCTACTGCACTTGGGTAAGCAGCAGAGAATAGCCCCAAGTCCTTGGGCCCCTGCACCCACGTGGGACACCCAGATGAAGCTTTTGGCTCCTGCCTTCAGCCTGGCACAGTCCTGACTGTTGTGGCTATTTGGGGACTAAATAAGCAGATGGAAGATTCTCTGTTCTTCTCTCTCTAACACTACCTTTCAAATAAATAACTAAATCTTTAAAAAAAAAAAAAAAAAAAGGAAAAAAAAGGAGGGGGCAAGAAAGTGTAAGAAGGAACAAATGACCAATTTGTGTTAAATCCAGGAATATTTTTAAACGACTATGATATAGCTATGTTGTGATACCATCATATACATAAAAGTATATGTCATTATACTGTTGAAAATGTTTTCAAAAATTTCTTAAATCTCTTGAATTTTAGCTTAATATTGATGAATAAAAAATACAAATAGCAGAAGAATTCTATCAAATGGGTAAACACATGGATGAAGAGAATATTTTGAAATAAATACAAAAAATTATGCATAACCTGAGAAAAAAATGGAAAAATAATTTGAAAGAGTTAACTTTGGTTTTATTGCATGTAAAATACCTCAGAATCAGAATGCCAGTGATAAAGAGTTTTTCTTTTTCTCTTCTTACTATTTGTTGAACTCTTTTACTTAGAGTAGGGATAACTATAGGATCATTAAGTATACTGAAAATAGATCTTGGTAACAATTAAGATTGGGAATGTAAGAGGGAGGGAAAGGAAAGGTTGGAGCACGGGGAGGTGGAGGGGTAGCATCATTATGTTCCTAAATCTGTATATATGAAATATTTGAAACTTATATAACTTAAAGTTCAAAAAAGAAATATGAAATAAGCAAAACAGCTTTAAAATACAGTTATCAAATTAATACTTTCTAAAAGTTATAATGAGCCTTAAGTGAAAAAGAAAAACAATTCACAATTTTACATTGGGGGAAAAAAGAAAAGTAAAAGGCCAAAAAAATTTACTTAGTATTTTTATAAGGAAGGTGCGACTACAGTCTCTGCACTGTTCAAATCTTCTTAATGCTGTCAGGTCAGGCTTTTTGAAATTAATACCCATTAAACAAATAACAATAACATATACAAAGTTTAAAATATCTTTAATATTAGGAATAAAAATTGAACCAAACATATCTACTGTTAGCAGGTACACTCATTTTGTTATCATAATTACTTAAAATTAACAATAAAGTAGAACTAGTAATGACATTTTAATAATAAAATGCCTCAAATTATGGCCTCTAGGGAAGACAGGTGGGCAGGCAAGAGGAAAAAGAAGTGAGATGTAAGTATTTAACTCCCAGGCAAAAACCGAGACATAATAATGGAATTAAGATGAAAAACTCAAAACACTATGTTTTGCACATAATGAAGTAATTTGTAGTCAAAGAGGGAAAAACAGGAATTTCAGTAAGTATACTCTCAAGATACATGAGCAAAAAAGGATCAAAAACAAGTTTTTTAAATATAGATTTTATTTATTTGATTTGAGAGATAAAGACAGAAAGGTCTTTCATCTGCTGATTCACACCCCAAATGGCTGCAATGCCAGGGCTGGGCTGATCTGAAGCTAGGAGCTTCTTCTGGGCCTCCCATGGGGATTTCAGGGGCCCAAACACTTGAGCAATCTTCTACTGCTTTCCCAGGCTGTAGCAGCCTGGGAACAGGTGCCTATAGGGGATTCTGGCACCGCGGGTGGAGGCTTAGCCTACTACACCACAGCACTGGTACCCAAAAGCAAGGTTTTTATACTTTCTCCTATGTATTTCAGAAAGTTACCCAAACAACTGACTTTCCAGATATTCAGCAAATAGGCATCTTATATAATTTAAATAATGTAATGGGCATTACATCTATCTCAAGAATCTATAAGTGGGGCTGATACAATGGCATAATAGGCTAAGCCTCCACCTGCAGCGCCAGCATCCCCTGTGGGTGCCAGTTCGTGTCCTGGCTACTCCACTTTCTATCCAGCTCTCTGCAATGACCTGGGAAAGCAGTGGAAGATGGCCCAAGTGTTTGGGCCCCTGCACGCCCATGAGAGACCTGGAAGAAGCCATTGTGGGCGTTTGGGGAGTAAAACCAGCAGATAGAAGACCTCTCTCTGTAACTATTTCAAATAAATAAAAATAAATCTTAAAAAAAAAAAATGAAAAAAATGTAAGAAGTGTTTCAATAGTTACTAATTGGTAGGAAGCTAGTTATATTTAAGACAAAATCTGAGTTTTACATTAAGACTCCTTATTTTCCCATAAAAATTATAAAAACTACTCTTCCAAAATATTTATAAAGAGAAGTACTATTTTTCTAAGAATACATTCTCAAAGATATAGAACCCATTTTCAAGGATAACTAAGGATCATTATATCTCAATTTCACATTTGTAAATAATTCATACATTAAAATGAAATGCTGCTTCTTGTACAAACTTTAATATATCAAAAGCAAAACCTAACTGTGGAGTCAGCATTATGGTGTAGTAGATAAAGCCACTGCCTGTAATGCTGACATGCCATAAGGGCACCATTTCGTGTCCCTGCTGCCTCTACTTTCGATCCAGCTCCCTGCTAATGGTCTGGGCAAATCAGTAGAAGATGGTCCAAGTGTTTGGGCCCCTGCTACCCACATGGGAGACCTGGAAGAAGTTCCTGGTCTCTTGGCTTTGCCCTGGCCATTGTGGCCATTTGGGGAGTGAACCAGCAGACAGAAGATCTGCCTTTCTAACTCTTTCAAATAAATAAATAAATGTTTAAAAAATAAAAACATACCTACTCCATGAATTTGGCTTTTATTCTTAGTTAAGCATTAGTTATGCTTAGAAATAATCCATGTTCGTAACACGTGCCACCCCCCTCCAGATAAAAATGTTAATGATGCTGTCAAGATCTGTCTGTATCATTTCTACTTGACATCCTGCATCCAAACACAGTAGTTTTGACATTTAAGTCCAGCTCATTCACAAGACAAAACTAAAAAATAATTTTTTTACACCCCATTTAGTAGTTGCTAGGGAGAACATTCATTGAGTGACATAAGCATGAAATGGGAAGGACAATTTCCAGCACAATCCACTTAGCAAAAATACAAGCCAAGGCAAAGTCAGCACTGTCACAGAGGACTAAGGACAAGTTGTTTTCAACAGTACGATTTAGACAGCACTACTGACATGCATGGATGACTGATGGCAGCTCTGGGAAAGAAAAGGACAACTTACTGAAGGTTCCCAGCAAGGTCCTGTCCTATCATAGCTATTGCTAATAGGAAAGAAACAGTGAAGAGAGAAATTTTTAAATCACATTTCATCCAACACAAAAATTCAGTAGTAGCTTTGTATTTTCACATTTTCGATATTAACTTTAACATTTGAAAAAATTTAAATTACCCTAAATTATATTTTAGGAATCTTACTAATGTTATTAATAATTTTTAAAATATTCTGGTAATATAAAACCATACCAAGGAAACTGACTCATTTAATAAAATACACAGAAGTAAAATACAAATGCGTAACAGTTGAAGTATTTATAATAAAAACATTAGAAGTCCCAATGTAATTTTTCATAAAATAATCACACAGTTACTAGTTAGTTGGATTCTCCGCCAAGAAGATATAACAGTAAATAAACTTGGTCTATTTTACAATTTTATACTCAAATATGAAACATTTTTAAAAGCAACACAGTAAAACAGTAATATCTTTTTACCTACCTAGCTATTAACTATTCCTCTTTGTCTACCAACTTCTACTACTGTAAGAAAAACTAAAAGTAGAATTTCTATATTTTAGTACAATGACATATAGTGACACCAACTGGCCAGGCGGTATGCCTGTGTAAAGAACACCATTCCCAAATGCAGCCACTAATGTTTCTGAATGATGTGGTCACTTTGTTAAGAATTTATTTTTAAGTTGCTAAATAGATCGTATATATTTATTGTGCACAACTTGTTGTTCTGAATTATGTATACACTGTGGAATGGCTCAATCCATCTCATTAGCATGTGCATTACCTCACACGCTTATTTTATTTTTCCTGGTGAGAACACTTAAAATCCATTTTTTTAGTAATTTTCAAAATACAAATACATTGTTATTAACTGTAGTGATCATGTTGCAACAACAGATTTCCTGAATGGTCCCTTTTTAACAATTCAGCATTTATTAAAAGTTTCTATCCACAACACAACTAGAATGGAGCAGGGGAAGGGAAGGGGATAGAAGGGGAAAGGTAAGGAACCAGAGACAACAGGGAAGAAAATGTGTGTGTTTGTCTCTGCGAATAACCTTAGAGGGTCAGCAACAGTATCCCCAGGGAGAAATAAGTCAAGGAATTACAAGGCGGGTGCTGTGGCATAGTGGGTAAAGCCGCTGCCTACCACCCCAGCATCCCACATGGGCTCCGGTTCAAGTCCCAGCTGTTTCACTTCCTATCTAGCTCCCTGTTAATGCGCCTGGGAAAGCAGCGGAAGATGGCAGAAGTGCCTGGGCCCCTGCATCCATGTGGGAGACCTGGATGGAGTTCCTGGTTCCT